CCCCCCCCCCCCCCCCCCAAGTTTCCTTTTGTACCCCCACAGATATCTGCCTTGGCAAGAGCTACCAGGCTAATTCTACAGCATACACCCTGGGGAAGGGCTAAGCTGGAAATGCATTACAAATGCAGATGTGCACCAGCTGTGACTGTTTCCCCCCAGGCTAGGGACAGACATTCAAAAAGCTGGAGCCTGAACTGATTCAATCTTTAGTCTAACCTGCAGAGATTGAACTGATTGGCAAGTGAATAGATACTCACTTTTGACTCTGGAAATACAGGCACATGCCTGCAGTGGCTCAGGCTAGAAGCCGGGGGGCACTAAAGCAGCCTTCCTTTCCCTTTGGCAGCAGTGGAAAGGCTGGAGGGAAGCTGACTGGGGATGTGGCCAGGTCCCCAGCAGGGGCTAAGTATGATTGGGGAGGGGTTTAAACCTCCACCAGCTTCTCCTCACCTTCAGCAGCTCCAGCTTTTGGCTGCCTTCTACCTGCTCTGCCCGCCTGGTGTGATAAGCAGACTCTGCGGGCAGGTGCAGTGGGTGGAAGGCAGGTGGAGCTGGAGCTTGAGCTGGAGCCGTAGCTCTGTGTGTTGGGCAGAAGCCACCAGGCTGAAGCTTCCCACCTACCTACCTAGAGTGGCACGGCAGGGGTAGGGGCAGCAACTGCAGGGCTGCCAGGCTGGGCTATCACAGAGCTGCAGCTGCTGGGAGGGGCCCTTCCCAGCTGGCTGTGGTTCATGACAGCCCTACCTGGCCTGGGTGTGGGGAGCGATGTAGCCATGCAGCCCCCATGGCTCCAGCCTGAGCCACAGCCTGCTGGGAAGGGCCCAGCTCCAGTGTCCCAGCCCTGGCTGGCCCCTTCACCTCCTCTCAGCAGCACCTCCAGGCCGGCCTGGCTCAGCCCCACAGCCCCAGCTGCTGGCGAGGCAGGTGGATGGCAGGGCCATGCCAGCTGGCTCTGGCCATGCTCCCTTCCCTGCCACTGGAGTGGGGAGGGAGGCAATGGCTGACAAGGGTTGCTCCACCCTGGCCAGGTGGACTGGGGCTGCTGGTGAGACAGGAGATGGAGGGGGAAATTAAATCCCCCTCCCTCTCTCTGTTTGCGTCAGGTTGCAGATGGGCCTGACAGGGGCTGCTACACCCTGGCCAGGCAGACCTCAGCTGCGGTCCCCCAGTGGGAGAGGGGAGGGAGGGGGGAATAAGCTGCTCCCTTTGCCTCAGGGGGCCATGCCGGCCAGTGTCTGGCCATGCCCCCATCCCTGCTCTGGCTAGAGAGCAGAGGGGCAGGGCCAGCCCTGCTCTCTGAAGCAGACAGCACAGCTCAGCCCAGGGATGAAAAGCATGCTGGGATGCTGGGGGACTGTGATTTAACTTGAACCAGGAAGGGGTCTGGGACAGAAGTTCCATAAACTGGTTTGACCCAAATCAGTTAGGTCTGAAACTACATTTAACCAGGTTCATCTTAAACCAGTTTCGGTCATTTTGAAACTGGTTTATGTGCTGAACTTCTGTTCTGTTACAGGTTTAAACCCATTTCTGATCATTTAAACTGGTTTGTGTGTAACTTCTGTCCCTAGCCCTAGGGTCCTTGAGCCTGAAAACTCCCATCCTGAAGGAAGGGATAAATTTGCTTGATAGAAACTCTGTGAGAGTCAGTGTCATTCACCCAGTGAGGCAGCAGGGTGATTTTTAAGTCCTATGCAGACAGATTGGTTCCCCCTCCATCCTCTGGTCTTTGTGGTTACCCCCAGCACTCACTGTTCACAAAGTCTTGCTCTTCAGGGGTGATGATACTGCTCAGATGAGACTGATGTTCTCGGCACCGTGTCTCAGCGTCCACCCAGGTCTCTCTCTCTTCAAAGTGCCTGTAGCAATGGCCCTGGAACTTGGTCCAACCCACTTCACAGTCCTCCAGGTCTGAAACACACAAAAGAGGAATGAAAAGAGGCTGCATGCATCAGGGCTGAGAGCCCTCTGACACACTTCTTGGCAGCCTAACTGCTCACAGATCAGAAATACAATACACAGTCACATCCACTAAAGAATAAATCTTGCTTATGTCATATGGCACATCCTTGGGGAAATGATGAGACGGCATCAAAAGAATAATTTATGGAGGGGAGATGGCTTAAATGTCCTGCTGCAATGTAAATAGAGCGAGCAAGTCCTGCATGTTTCAGACCATGAGTCAGGTTCCAGAACTCCACAGCAGAGAAACAGACCCAGACATCATTACTTTCCCCCTCACTGCAGTCCTGCTGATTTTTCTTGCACCATAGGGCAATTTTTGCCTTTCAGACCTGAATTCTGATCCCCAGAATCAGTGCTCACAGGTGATAAATGAGAAAGGCAGGAGAAAGTCAGAGTTCAGATTCAGCTGGCAACATCACTCAGTGTGATTCTGAATCTTCTCCAGTGAGATAAGTAACCTGGATGAGATCAGAGAAAAGGGATGTAAGGCAGGACATACCATGCGGGAGACCCATTTTTACACCTGTAACCATTTTTAAAGTACTTTCTTTGCATTTTTTCTCCATCAGCTTCTTCATATGGCTAATGCTGGTGATCACTTAGAAATGCCATGAAAGCAACTTAAAGGCACATAATAGATGACTTTCTTTATATTATGATTGAGGTCAGACCTTGAAAAATTTAACAAGTGAATTACAGGTTTCCCTCGCTTTATGTGGGTTCTGTATATGCGAATCCACTCTTATGCGATGACCCTTTTCTACCAAAAATACGTTATACGCAAGGTAAATTCACTCTTATGTGATCGGTATGGTGAAGCTGCAGTCAGCTGCACTGTAGGAGTGACGTGCACCAAAATATAGTCTCCTGTGTGGATCTGTGCTCCTTGTCTGCGACACGTGTTTCTGTAGTTACCACCCCCATTATGGTTACATTCACCACCACCCTTGTGTGTACTGTCTGCTGTTGGCAAGTACCAAAATTGTCATGTAGAAGTGGTAGAAATGGGTCCAGGGGGTCAATACAGTTGAGGTCTTGGAACATATCTCTATTTATTACATTGTAAAGTGGGCTCCCTTTATGTGAATTTGAGTTATGCGCCTTTTTCCAGGAATGTGTGTATAGCATAAAGTGAGGGAAACCTGTGTCTCCTTTCTTCCCCATCCAGAGAAACTAACCAATTTAATTTATTCTAACATGGGGAATTATTTCTTTTCTCCTGAAGTCCTAGTTGCAATAGGAAGAGGATGTTTATGGGAGATTTTCTTAGGCTAATATCAGTTTCTCTCTGGGCTGATTGTTCTGGGCTTTGACTCGCATCAGAACAGGTTGGGGGGAAGCGTTAGTCTAGATCCTTCTCAGATACTTAATGTAGGGCAATGGGCTTGTTTATCTGTAGGATCCCAGGCCTGGGAGAATTTCCATGTCCTTTTTTAACAGGGGACCAAGACTCAGAAATGGGTACCATATGATATATGAGATATAGATGAGAAAATATGGAGCCTGGCAATGAATATTTGGGTCACAGAGGTTCTGGAAACAGACTCATGGACCACAGGGATTCTGGGAATAGACCTGTGGGCTCTGGAGGAAACTAGGGACATACCTGAATGGGCTTTCAGGACATAGGATGGGGGTGGGATGTAAGAAAGGTAACACCGAGAACTAGAACACAGGATTTTTTAAAAATGGAAAAAGGGAAGAGCAAACACAAGGAAATAAGCAATTAACAATTCAAACCAAGGCTCTCTGAAGCCCCTGGCTATCAACAGCAATGGAAGCATCTTATGTAAACTGAGAAGTAATGGGGGTAGATACAAAAATGACAGCAATGGGCGTGGATGCCAGTTTGATGGTAAAACCATTTCTTTTCACTAGCCCCTTGCACTGCAGGAAGTTATGCGCAAACCTTTAAATGACCATGCCCGTGGTGCTTTGAAAGTACTACATCCCACCATTTCTCACACCTCTTGCATTGATTAGTAGCCAGAATCAGATCAGCCAAGAAAAGGCACAAAGCCAGATGCAAGGAATTGCCACAGCGAGATCCAAGAGAAGAAAGCAATGAAGTGTGATGAAGCCATAGATGAGGTGGATGTGTAGCATTAGTGCTAATGGGAGCTCAACAAGTGGCACCATGGAGGTTTATTTCACAGCGGCCTTTCAGTGGCAGCGGGCTCATCTACCATCCTCTCTCAGCTGTGTGTTGCCTTGGGGGCGGTCAAGTGTCATTATTTCTCTCTGCCAAAGCCCTCCTTTCCCCTTTCAAGGAATATGTTGCTCTCTCCTTCAGACTTACCAGCTCCTTTTACTCTGTTACTGCAGTGCTCTTGAACCAGGAAGGCTCACGGACACTCGGCAGACTCCAGTGGCTACCCCTCCATGGATGGGGTGGTTGGTGCAGTCTTTCAACACGCATTTTCTGCCCATTTCCTTAATGGATTTCATGGGCCACCCTTGGTGCCTGGAGCTGGGACAGTGCTCACAATCCTTACTTGCCTCCATCTCACCTCCAATGGAGATATACAAGATGAGGTGAGGACAAATATAATAGGTCTTTCTAAGTCTAAATTCTTTTTTGGTGGTTAATTCTCACCTCAGAACTATTACAATTACTGGGATGGGATCGGGAATGATGTACAACCTCAGCAGAATGTTTCATAGGAAATCCCTAGGTTCTTCCATGTAGCAGCTACTTGTTGAAAATGTGGATAGTGATCATCTATGAGAAGCAGGCGAAATCTATATTAAATGGCACTATCTCTGAACTTTTGAGTCATTAAGAATGACTGATTGTGTGTATAGCACAGAAGAACTCATCTAAAAGGTTATTTAGCTCACAGATGTTCTTAGAGACTCTCAGAAGTTAGAAAATGGAAAGTTTTTAGGTCATTCATTCTGTCTTCTCAAGATAATGGAAGATCTTTTTCTCTGGAATTTTTTTCACTGTTATCCAGGGAATGTTTCATAGGAAATCCCTAGGTTCATAGGAAATCACTAGGTTCCCTAGTGATCATCTATGAGAAGCAGGCGAAATCTATATTAAATGGCACTATCTCTGAACTTTGAGTCATTAAGAATGACTGATTGTGTGTATAGCACAGAAGAACTCATCTAAAAGGTCATTTAGCTCACAGATGTTCTTAGAGACTCTCAGAAGTTAGAAAATGGAAAGTTTTTAGGTCATTCATTCTGTCTTCTCAAGATAATGGAAGATCTTTTTCTCTGGAATTTTTTTCACTGTTATCCAGGGAATGTTTCATAGGAAATCCCTAGGTTCATAGGAAATCACTAGGTTCCCTAGTGATCATCTATGAGAAGCAGGCGAAATCTATATTAAATGGCACTATCTCTGAACTTTGAGTCATTAAGAATGACTGATTGTGTGTATAGCACAGAAGAACTCATCTAAAAGGTCATTTAGCTCACAGATGTTCTTAGAGACTCTCAGAAGTTAGAAAATGGAAAGTTTTTAGGTCATTCATTCTGTCTTCTCAAGATAATGGAAGATCTTTTTCTCTGGAATTTTTTTCACTGTTATCCAGGGAAGTGGCCTGCTTGAACGTTGCATTATTGACAATGCAATGTCAAGATCTCATTAACAGATGGATTGTAGACAGGAAAGTACCATTTTGATGGAAAAATACAATTTCCCCCTTTTTTATCTCAAAGATTTGCACTCCTTGCCATTTTTGCCATGAAAAGCTGTGTTCATTGCAGGAAATGACAACAATGTCATGCCAAGCTGAATCTTAAAGAATTCATAGGAATGACTGAAGTTTTTGCAAGTGAACCCTTGCAGAGTGAAATGTTGTCTTTTCACTTGGTTCAAATCATGCATCTTTTACTGATATTCAGAGGAGCAGAGGAGGTTCATGTAGTAGGAGGATGTGCTTGGGACATTGTTCTGTTGTTATAGATGGACACAAAGACTTTCTTTGACCCAAAAGCATATCTTTGCTCTTATGTCCAGTGTGCAGTTGCACCAGACAAAGCTTCAAGAAAATGTGTTATTTCTCTCTTTAAGAAGAGCCAGAAAGATACGAGTTTCCCTAGAAGGCAGTGAATGCTACCATGGTCTCCTAGCAGCAAAGAATAATTTCTCAGTGAAACAAGATTTTGTGATGAAAAAAATAATAAAAATGTATATGTAAATGATGCAACCTTTTCTACATAGATTTTTTTTATCTGCTGTTAGGGGTTAGCTTATTGAGATGAAGGCAGGACTGATGGGAGCAGTTTTTTGGGGAGAGGAGTAATTTTTTTCAGGGGTGCAGCTGTTAGTAAAATTAGCTGAAGCCAAGTAGGCCGTACCGATCTCACACAGGTCCCCTCCGTAGCTGGGAAGGCATAAGCATTTGAAAGAGTCGATGCCATCAACGCAGGTAGCTCCATTCAGACAGGGGCTTGAGTGGCACTCATCAATGTCTGCAAGAAATGAAGGGCTGCCATTAGGACCCTGGGCAGGGAACTCCACCAACAAGATTTCCTTGCTTGTTCAGGAGGAAGCATCAATAGTTCGGGGAGAACTTGGGAGTCAACAATGGGCTTGTTTTTCAAACTGCTGCTACTGCTGAATCCTTGGCCAGTCACAGTGTTGTAATGACCTGAAGAAGGACATTTGATGCCCAAAAGCTTGCCTAACATCTCCACCAACTATACAGTTGGGCCAATAAAGGATATAATAAAAGAAACCCCCAAACCCTTTGCTTCTCACATATTTCTTGCACTGTTATGGCTACAGCAACATGCCAACCCAACTATTGCTGAAGAAAAAAGCAAAAAAGCCCTATCCACCATAGAAGAAAGAGATCATTTTTCCACTCAAATTTCTGCCACTTGATATGACGATATTAGAGCAATGTCAGCAGGGGCGGTCAGGATGTCTTTCAGTAATATTCTGGTTAATATCTTTTGACATCTTGCATGTCTCCTCTTTGTCTCCTTTCCCTGCCTGAGTTGATCAAACATGTAAATTTGGGGCTATGTCTCAGCTTCCATCAGCTATCTGGCTCCCAGACAAAAGTTGCCTTTTTTTAAGGAAAAGAAGCACTCTAAATACAGCTTCTTCTCCCTTCTATCTCTTCTTGGTTCACTCCTCAGATCTGGCTCTTCCTAACTGAATCCTCACCTACTCCAGAGTGCAGGCTGGTGCAGCTGAGATTGGGGAGGTGAGGGTTGTTCTAAGCCACCCACCTTTTCCTCCCTCGATGAACTGAAGGTTGGCCCTATGAGTCATTTCTTTGGCAAGGTAGATTGAAATGCTGTGCACTCTGGGCCTTCTTCCACCCCTTTGTTAGCTATGGGCTGAAAGGTGCTAGCGGAGAGGCAGTTTCCCTTGCTTTACAGAAGCCACAGAGTTCCTCACCTTGGGAGATGCTTGGCTAATCATAAACTCTATGAATAGTTCCAGAGGTTCAAAGAGATCTTTGTGTTTGTCAGAATTCGATCCCAAGTCTCCTAGGGTTTCCATTCTGCCTGCTACCACCACCACAGACAAGATATGCCATTGCCTTAATAACACATCAGCACCGGGAGAGAAAAAAAAGAAATGGGGATTTCATACTCAGACTGTAATCACAATGGCCAGTTTGTACTTGTACGCCATAAAATGTATATCTCATTGAAAGGAGAAGATCTTATTATCCATTTAGCCTGAACTTTAGTCCTATCCTTCGTTGAGCCTTGAAATCAGAAAGAAAAATAATTGGAATGAAAAAAGACTGCAGAGATGCTCAACTCAAGCCATGAAAGAACACGAGTAAGAAAGTAAAGGTGTCAAAATGTATACAAAAAGGATTGTGGACTAAAAAGAGTTGCTGGTTAGATCCTCTGATGAGACTATTCTTTCTTTCAGAGTCCTGTTAGCCTCCAAACTGCTGAAAATCTTTAAAGATGCTGAATTTAAGAGAAGTCATTTGGCTTACTCTCCACAGTGCACTTCAGGACATGATAGGTTAATGGAAAACAGAAGGTGAAGTAGAGCAGAACATGGAAATGGCCATACGAGAGCAGAACAATGATCCATCAAGTTCAGTATTCTGTCTTCTGCTGCAATGGAGCAGACCACGAGTCAACATAACCTGGAGATCCTCTCTCCTGACATGCCAGACCAGGGAAGTGGTCTATCACAAGCAAATATTCTTTTTGTAGCTGCCTGAGAGCAGGCCAATGATTTACCTTGCCTCTCTGCCTTGCCGTCCACAGAGACCAATACTAGATGCTTCTGAGAAAAGTGTAAAGTGCCTAAAAGGCATCTAACTAAAGTACTAAATAATGGGAAAAATTCTTCCAGCCACAGCTTGTAACTAGCTTATGCTTTAGGACTCAGATCCTTTGTCATGTCCATTCTAGTTTGTGTCCCAGTGGATTTTACAAATATTCTTGCAATGGGTTATGAGTCGTTTAACCCAATTTTTCCATTTGATTTTCTTTGGAAACAGGATTAGTTTCTCTGGACTGACCTTTAACAAAATTCATATTTTCTCAACCATTATTTTCAGTATGATGGGAGGGAAGGTAAATGTGTTGCTTGCATTAACACTACCATCAAGCATTTTGTGACATTCCAGAAGAAAATGAAAACTATTTACCTAGTAGAAAAAAACAGCCAAGTCAGATTGGTTGCTGCTTATCAGCTCATGTCTTTGAACCCTAGGAGATTTAAAATGCAAGAAAGATCCCAAACGATATCGTGGGATGACTTAAATCCTAGTCAGCACCAGGTTTCCCAACAGCAGTAGCAGCAGAAGTTCATGCCAATCACAGTGGACGTCACCTGAACAAGTAAGGAAAGGTTCTCCTTTGTCTGTTAGCTTCTTTTAAGTGGAAAGAGAGCTGTTGAAATGGGGATTAAGCATGTAAAGGAGCTAAAGCAGAATGTTGAGCAGGGAATTCCAAATGGTGGGCTCTTCATTTTCGTGATTAATGGGGACTAAACACTTTATGCACCCAAGATCTCTTTCAGGTGCAGTGGTTTCACCTACCCAAGTCCTGGACGAAGAAGGACAGCAGATGCACACGTGGGGTAGTGCACTGCATCAAATCTTAGTTCAGGAAATAACATTAGAACAGAGCTTCCTTTTGGAGATGTTGTATATAATATGCACTGTACATATTATACATACTGTATAATTGCTTTATACACACACGCATATATATATATAAATATATAGCTCATATATATTATATATATTCAGAGAGCGAGACGGTGTACATTTAAATAGTTTTGGCAAAACAAATAATACAAGGAAATACAAATTATTGTTTTCAATATGCATTCTGCAGATATTTTAAAATGATATTTGAAACATATGAGGATAATAAATATCAAATTACCCGTTTGCTCTTTGGGGGAGGCAATACACCTTCCTCTGTATTAGAAAGCATCTATTCTATACAGTTAGCAGGATTTTCAGTCTTGCACACATCAAAATATTTACAGCTGGCATTACTTATTCTCCATTCACCTTGTTCAGACATGGTGTTAGAGATGTTTCATCATTTCACCTAGTATTAATATCATTAGGGATGCAGTCTCTAGATATACTGGAGAATGGGTCTGGGTGTGGATCTCTGATACTTCCTATGAGCCTAAACTCACTGGATTTACATGAGAAGGAAACTGCAGTAAAACCCATGCTTAACCAAATCCAATCTATTACTTAATGCCTATATTTTGTTAACCCTTCAGAAGCCACAAATATACATTACGCATCTGTAACCAGCCTGGAAAACAACACTTTAGGTGTTAATATTCCTTTTTACCATCCTAATCTTAATGATTTAGAGGAATTTCAGTCAGGCACACCACAGCAGAGACTCAGTTGATGTTAGGCTGCAGAGACCCCTAAGCAGCAGTCAGGTGTCGTGTATCTTAACACGTGAAAGAACGTACACAGCTGATGTTGTTAGTAGGGTTGTTAGTTGTAGCTGTGTTGGTCTAAGGACACAGGCGGACAAGGTTCTTTGGGTAGATGTGATATCTTTTATTAGACCAACTAAATAGTTGGAAAAACTGTTCTTTGCAAGCTTTCGGGCACAAACATCCTTCTTCAGGCATATAAGAAAGTCTGCCGGTGAATTGTGTGCTCTCTTCGGTAGATTAGTTATTTAGTAAGTTATGCAAATTAAAAAAAAATCTTTGTCTTTTCATTTGACTCTCCAGGTGACTCCCTTGAAAAGTTTCTCTTCAAGGACAGGAAGAAAAATCTATTCTTATTATTTAAGTGTTAACAATGTACTTGGCATAGTAGCGTATACAAAATGAGACAGCCCCAATAAGAGCTTTCAGTCCAAGAGAAAACCTAGGGAAGACAATGCATTGTGGAGCTGAGAACAGGCAGCACATTTAAAGCATATTATTAATTCATTTCTTGAGGGCATCAGGAAATTAATGAGTCTTTAAAACATGATTTATACTTACCCAAGATCATAAGACATTCTAAAAGGCCATTCAAATGTATTGTCACAACACTGTTTTTAAAAAGGCTAGAGTTTTAGGCCTAACATTTTCACAGTTATTTAAAAAGGAGAATTGGACTTTGTATTCGATCATTTTAAGTTGTTGACTGAAGAAAGCAAAGGAGCAGCAGGATTAATCTGAACACTTTATTTAGACAAACCCAGAAAAGAATATTAACTTCAATATTTTCTACCTAGGCTTTCTTTAACTTTCTCAAATATTGCACATTGGTAGTCTTACTCTATTCTGGCAGTGTTAGATACAAACTAAATATTCTGAAGCACTTTTGCTTTTGTAAGTTGTGATAGAGCATGGGAACCGGAAAGAGAAACCAAAGTGAACAAAAGTGACACCGGCCAGCTATTTACTTTTACTATGAAGTTCAGCGACTGGCAACAGGGAACAAACAGGGCCAGTGGTGAAAATAGGGCGTATTAGAACTTTTTAACTTTCTGTAGTTTAAAATCTTATACTCATTAACAATTGTAAGATGTTTTAAAAAATGAAATATGGATGTATTTCATAGATGATAGCCTATATCACAGATGGTCTTGAATATTAATGAAACAAAGTTAGTTCTGGCTTTAAAATGTTTTCTAAGGTGGAACCAGCAAACAGGCAGGAGGTTAAGTATCACCCAGATACTGAACAATGTCTATGGCTTTCTCAAAACTGAGTAAACTGTTTGGAAATGCACTCTAGCATCCAGACTCCTGGCACCACTCTGCAGAAAGTGAAACTTGAAGCATGAAAAACAAGATTTTTTCAATATGTGCAACAGACCCCACTAGGGCTGGCTTTTATAGGGGCTTCTCACAAGCTTGAACTTCTAAACAGGGGACCAAACAAGCCAAATAATTGCCTTTTAGAAGCTGAAAAGTAGCTTATTCAGACTCCATAAATCTACATTCCAGGGACTCCTGGGAATAGCGTGGATTCTCTTCTGATGGTATAAGAAAGAAGAGTTCCTTCTCGCTTCCCAACCACTGTCCCTCACCCCACTAGCAGTTTGGGGGACATCTAAGACTATAATTACACGATCTGCAATGCTGTAACCGGATCCTGATCTGAGGAGAAACGATTTGATAAAGAAAATGAAAGACTTTTTGAACAGAACAGATAAACAGTGATGCGAGATCATATGGAGAAAGTCTAATTTTACCTCTTAAGCTGCAGAAAAATATTATATAATTAAATCTGAGCCTCAGTACATAGCAGAGGGCTAAAAAACTTGCCATAACTGTAATGTGTTCTATTAAACTACAAAATGCAGCCACTTAACAGGAAAATGTCTTGGCTTTGTGGAACCCTCCTCTTGTAATCATCACAAGAGCTGAGAACAAACATGGACAACCAAAGAGTTGCAGGCCTCCTTAGCTCCAGACTATTCTGCGTAAAAGGGAAGCTCATTACAGATACAAGAGTATTGGCCCAAGACTTTAGGTTCTATCCTCCCAGCAGGTTTTTAATTAAACACATAAACATGTGACTTTTAAATATAGCCAAGAAACACCAAATAATCTGACTGATCAAAATGAATCTCTGCTTGTGCCTATTTTATGATTTTTTAAAGAATTTTCTTCTACTGGTAACATTGAAAGATCCTTTGGGCTTCAGGCCACGAAGACACACAGTACACATTTAGGCCAACTTTAGCAGGGTCGCCTCTGTGGGCAACCGGCCCCGTAATACGGCACCCACCTTTGTGATTCAAGCCTGTTTGTAAATTGTCATTTCAGCAAATCACATTTTCCCCTTGCCCTGAGTGAAGTTTTTAAAGTCACCAGCTAGTTGCTGCTTTGCCCATGGAAACTTGTAGATGGTGAGACCAGTTCCATAAGCAACTCTTCAAGATTTAGGCTTGTGTGACTGAAGGGTGTGAATATGATTGTTGAATACAGACAAGCACATGCTGGCCCTAGATCATTCCTTTGGCTAGAAACCTTGAAAACACCAGCATTGTAAAGGTAATCTTTTGCCAACTAGAAGATACTCCCATCATTGACATTCACATATTCATGAAATCATATATCATGCAGAGCAGAGAAACTCCCTTTTAAAAATCATCATTTAAAAAAGATAATGCAATCCATTTGAAACCCTAAGAAGGCAGGCGCAGAACACTGAGGTCGCTCTTTCTGTTGCTCATTGCTTTGGGCTCCTTTTGCAAGGTGAATTAGATTCAGCCCTGACTTATTGTTGGTTAATATTATTTATTTTTTGTGGCAATGTGCCAACAAATGCTTAGCACAACCCAAAATGAAGGCAATCCAAATAGTCCTGTCCTTTAGAGCTCACTAAATGAGAAAGATGAGACACAGGCAGACCCAAAGCAAGGGAGCATTATGGACAGATTATTAATACTACTATTGTTCTGTGCATGCAGACTTCTGTTTCATTTATCTAATACCTTTCATCTCAAAGAATCCCAAAGCACTGTGAAGACTAACTGGGCTTACACTGGAAAAAAACCTGTGTAGATATTTGTTCTATTTAAAAAAAAAAAATCACTTTATGCAACATTTATGTCTGTTTTCTAGATGCAATTCATCCCCTAGCAGACAGGCCAGTCTAACTACTGTGCATCCCTTACATTCTGCTTTTAAACGGGACTTGTATTGACTCTGCATAGGGATCACTTCCCTGCTCCATAAGTGTCTTAACAAATAAATTTTGTCAGTATAAAAAGGCATGTTTTAAACATGAATGCTGGAATATTCATTGAACACAGGCTGAATCACATAACTAATTTATGACAAGTAATTGTTTGAACTCCCTGCTGTTGTCACTTACTTATGCAAATTCTCTGACTTGAAAACCAAAACAAAACACTGTTATTTTTGTAGCTTACCACATTTAACATTTTGAAGATTTGCAACAAGATGTTCACAAATGAGCTATGGGCCACCTATCCCTCTCTGAAGAGATTTGTCAAGCATTGGGGGCAATAAAGTAGCACAAGGGTTTTGCAATCTGTTTGTGTGTAAGTTATAAATTGATAAAAGAAACAAAAATAAACTTTTTCCCCTTACACCCTATTTGCTAAGTCCAAATGTTTAGTCATCTCTTCACCATCCCTTTCACTGACATGCCATCATTTATTCATGAAACATGGTGGCAGTTGTAGGCCAATAATATTACCAGTTACTCCTGCAAAAACATGTAATGATCAGAACCGCTCCGGAAACGCAGCACCACGCCCCATGCCTGGTACCATGAAGGAGCAGTGATCCAGTAATTGTTCTTCTTCGTCATCCACTCCACTTTCAGACTCAAAGCATGCCCCAGCTAAGCGGCACTGTGATTAATAGTGACTCAGAAAGAAAAAGCCCGAGTTTCTGAGTCACATGCACCTTTCCCTGCAGCACAGTGTCCCTACTACTGCACTGAGGGATCTTGATCAGTATTTGCTTTCTACAGAGCAGCTCTGCACTGTTCCCTGCCGATGGAGACTGCAGTGGGTCATTCAGCTTCTATGCAACTGAGGCTTAACCAGATCCGAAACTGGATCTTGTCACTTGTCCTCCACCTTCTTTATGTGTCAAAAGTAACAAAGATTTGTCCTTCATATGTATGCAGCTTCTGTGGATGTATGAGGGTAACCAAAAGAAATAGACTGGAGTAGGATTACATGTCTAAACTGAATGAAGAACTTGAATAGGATACAGCATCATAGGAATCACCAGACCAAGTAATTATTTTATTGATGAGAGCAAGAGAGTATGGATATATCAGAAATAGTATAAGCTTTATGCCCCCTTGAGACATTATAAAATAATATTTTTCACTTCTAGGCCATCTTCCATATAACAATCTCAAGTGCATTATGATTAGAAGTGGATTAAGCTTCACAACTTGCCTCTGAGGTAGGTTATTATTATCTCTGTTTTAAAGAGGAGAAAACTGAAGAATAAAGAAATGAAGTGACTTCTCCAAGTTACCTGAGTCATTTAGCGACAGAAATGGAATTCAAAACCAACTTTCTGCTCTGACCATTAGAAGCATTGCTGCCAAATGCACCTCTGTAAACCCACAGCCGCCTTCACGAGTGGTCTATGTCAGTTAAGCTTAAGAAAATAGTTTTGGGAGAAATGATGAGCAGTATTTTTAGCTCAAAGTGGCTGTGCCGAATATGATTGCATATATGTACTATATGACATATTAACTAAAATTTACAGGGGCAAGTTTACAAAAACCTCAGCTGCACAATTGCGCATGTAAAACAGATACACAGCTGCACGCTAATGTATATACAATGGCAGTCATACTCATGCCCTTCCTTACTTATTAAAATCTTTAGATGGGCTAGCTCAGACTTATCCTTGCTTGTAACAAAGTGAAACTGTACCCTGAATAGAAATACCAAAGAGCTCCATGTAAGCCCTGACTCAGCTCTCCACTCTGAGAGGCAGCAATAGCCACCAGGTAAATGATTGTTGAGGAATAATATTCTTTTTAATTCTTAAGGGATGACTTTTTCACCAAAACATTCTAGCACATCATGTCCGGCCACTCACACAATCACAGGATAGACTGAATAATACTGAGCTGGATACCTGCCAGAAGAGTAACATGAACTTTTCACCATAAAGATTTTATAATCTTGAATACTGAAGCCATTTATACTGACACATACAACTGAACCTACCAAGCCATAGACTGTTAGAGGGCCGACAAGAGAAAGAGTACAGTGGAACAGAGAGTTATCAGCACAGCCATAAAAGCTACAATTAATTTGATCTACAAATTAGATCATCACACATCTCGTACACTTCATTCTCTGTATCCAGTTCTGGCTGCAAACAGAGGCACAAGACTCAATACACAAACCAGAACCTCAGTTACTCACTTCTATTCCTCTAAAGGCTTTGCAGAGATATATTTTCTTATATTTCCCAAGCACCACTGGGCCTGAGATACCAAGGCACAGTAATCTGGACCCGTGGCGTGGCTAAATGTGCAGAAAAAATGGGGGTGGGAGTGAGACTTTTTGGATATGACAACTCTTGGCTGCTGTATGTAGTGAAATATCAGCTGGATCTTGGTGGGCAGATTGGCACCTGGCATCCCAAGCAGGGTGAATGGAGCGGAGATAGTGCCTGTACACCCACACACTGGCAAAATACAATGCAAAGGACTACAAATGTGGGTTGGCCGGTACACCTAGTGCTTTGACATGTACAGCTCAGAGAGCGGAGTGGCTCCTTTTGGCTCTTTTTAATTCCCTAAGCATCAACTCAAGATGCCAGAAGATCTATAACAACAGACCTACTGTGCCTTAACGAACATTTATGAAGCCAAGGCATTATTTACAAGTACACAGCAGTCCCAATACTCTGGATGTAGAGTGGTTGTCTGTACATCATGGAAAGGGATAAGGAAATAGCAGAGTGATGAATGTTCCCTGTTAGCCAACTTCTCTGCCTCCCCCTTGCACCATTCAAAAAGCCAGGATTAATCCTCCTATTGAGCCAGGGTGAAAAGAACAACTAGCTTTGCTAGGATTTGGGGAGAACAAGGTCTCCCAGTTTTCTCTGTACTGGCCATGGCGAAAGGAAAATTAACTCTCCACAGTCTGCCTCAGATACACTGTAGTCATGGACACATCCACAATAGCACTTTCTTTTGGCCAATACTTATTTTCTCCTTGTCCCACATCTCCAACAAAGCTGAGGACGGAGCTTACCTATATCACAGCGGTCCCCCATGTACCCAGGTGGGCACAAGCAAGCGATACCTCCATCTCGTTCTTGGCAGGTGCCAGCTCCACAGGGGTTCTCATCACATGTCTTGGGTACAACTGTAACCACCAAGAGTAAACATATTAGCCAAACTTATTCCAATACCTTTTGCACCTGTGTAATGAAGGTATGGCAGCACAATCACAAGATCATAGGATCATAGGAAAGTAGGGTTGGAAGGGACCTCACAAGGTCATCTAGTCCAGCCCCCTGCTCAAGGCAGGATTGTCCCCAACTAAACCATCCCAGTGAAGCACCTGTTCAACCTGTTCTTGAAACTTTTCAGGGATGGAGATTCCACACACCTCTAGATAGCCTGTTCCAAACCTTGACCATTTACATCAGGGGTCAGCAACCCCTGGCATGCTTGCCGAGCATGGCACACAAGGCCATTTTGTTCGGCATACAACCGCCAGCCCAGGCTCTAAGCAGCTGCTGCCAGCCACGGAGCCCAGGCTGCTCCCAGCAGGAAGCTGGAAGGCTGTGAGCCCTGCTGCAAGCAGACTGGGCTGCATGGGCTGGCTGCAGCCAGGAGGCTGCAAACAGCTGCTCTGGGCTCCCGCATGTCGGCACTCTGGCACCTTCCAAGGTAGACATTGTGGTTTTTTCGGCACTCCAGCCAAAAAACATTGCCTACCCCAATCTACATAGTCGGAAAGTTCCTTCCAATCTCCAACCTAAATTTTCCTTACTGTAGCTTGAAGCCATTGCTGCTAGTCCCATCCCCTATGGCCACAGAGAAAGGCCCATCTCCATCCTCTCTATAATTGCCCCTCAGGCACTTGAAGACTGGTATCAAATCTCCCCTCAGTTTGCTCTTCTCCAAACTAAATAACTCTAGTTCTTTCAGCCTTCCCTCTTAAGTCTTGCTTCCTAGGCTCCTATAATCATTTTTGTCATTTTGTCTTGGACTCTCTCCAATCTGCCCACATCCTTCGTGAAGTGCAGGGCCCAGAACTGGACACAGTACTGGACACAGTACACAGGGATGCCAGCTATCTACACCTCAGTGCTTTTGCACTCTGCAGTTACTATATTAATCTGCTGGTATCTTTGATTTCAGGCTACTTTATTTCAGTTGAGTATACAGAAGGTCAGACATAAACTCCAGGGAGAGATTTATGAGATAACTGTGATGCCAATTATAGAACTGATTGCTGTGCTTGTTTAAATAGAAGCAATTGAATATTTCATATTTCAGGGCATATTCTACTGCAGGCATGAGAAAGGAGTATCCCCTCATCCTGCTGCCATGGGCAGAGCTGCACAATTCTACCTTCCTCTGAAGCATTATCAGTTGCTGTGAGACATCTAGGATGCTGGGCTTGATGGCCCAATGATTTGATCTAGCTTGGCAAGCCTCATATACAACTTAATTAGGTAAGTTAATTACCTTTTTATTACATTCCCTAATGTAATAATTCATTACATTTATTACATTATGTTGCTATATAGAACCCCCAAATCCCCTTTTATAAAAGAGAAGTCAGCACATCTGTGGAGGGACACTGGAAGAACAACATACATTTTTAACAGTACCTTCTGCAGTGAGCCTTGCAACATCTGTTGCTTCTTGTGAAACTTGAGGCAGGATAGCGGTGGCAGTGGGTGATATCTGTAGAGTTTCTAGAACAGCAGGTGTTTCTATCTCTTGTCCTGACACCATAGGAGTAGAGGACTCTATTTCAAGCTGGGCCTCTTCAGGACCCTTGGGCTCTTGTGTTAATTCAACATCTGGAATACTGGTACTGATTACAATGTCTGGGACAGAGGTTTCTCCTGAGATGTCTGGGACTGTGTGTGTATGTGTTCCTGAAGTATCTGTAGAAATTTCCCTCCTCTCTTCAGGTGTTCCAAAAGATTTGCCACTGACCAAAGATATGCCAGATGTGTCAGTGCTAGTTTCAGGCAATGTGGATGTTTCGCCACTGGATTCACGAACGGTAGCAGTTTCTATGCCAATTTCAGGCAATGTGGATGTTTCAGTGCTGGTTTCATGAACGGTAGCAGTTTCTATGCTAACTTCGGGCAATGCTGATGTTTCATCACTGGTTCCACCAACTGTAGCAGTTTCTATACTAATTTCGGGCAATGCTGATGTTTCGTCGCTGGTTCCACCAACTGTAGCAGTTTCTATACTAATATCGGGGAATGCTGATGTTTCATCGCTGGTTCCACCAACTGTAGCAGTTTCTATACTAATTTCGGGCAATGCTGATGTTTCATCACTGGTTCCACCAACTGTAGCAGTTTCTATACTAATATCGGGGAATGCTGATGTTTCATCGCTGGTTCCACCAACTGTAGCAGTTTCTATACTAATTTCGGGCAATGCTGATGTTTCATCACTGGTTCCACCAACTGTAGCAGTTTCTATACTAATATCGGGGAATGCTGATGTTTCATCGCTGGTTCCACCAACTGTAGCAGTTTCTATACTAATTTCGGGCAATGCTGATGTTTCATCACTGGTTCCACCAACTGTAGCAGTTTCTATACTAATATCGGGGAATGCTGATGTTTCATCGCTGGTTCCACCAACTGTAGCAGTTTCTATACTAATTTCGGGCAATGCTGATGTTTCATCACTGGTTCCACCAACTGTAGCAGTTTCTATGCTAATTTTGGGCAATGCTGATGTTTCACCACTGGCTTCCTGGACTGTAGCAGTTTCTATGTGAATTTCAGGCAATGCAGATGTTTCACCGCTGGTTTCATGAACAGTTGAAGTTTCTATGCTAATTCCAGGGAATGCAGATGTTTCACCACTGGTTTCATGAACTGTTGATGTCTCAATGCTGATTTCGGGCAATGCTGATGTTTCGCCACTGATTTCACGAGCTGTTGAAGATTCTGTGGCAGCTTCAGGGAATGCTGATGTTTCGCCACTGATTTCATAAACTGTTGATGTTTCTGGACTAATTTCAGGCAATGCAGATGTTTCCCCACTACTTTCTCCAGATGCAGAGGCATCCCCACTTGGTTCAAAGATATGTGGGACTGTGACAGCTGTTTCTCCACCTAGCTCCTGTGAAACTGTTGGCTTTGTCACTACTTCTTCTAGATCAGAAGTAATTAATGTAACTTCTGGAAGTCCTGATTCCTCCCCACTAACTTCAGTCACTGCTGAGGTGAGGCCACTTAGGTCTGTGACTCCAGAAATTTCTCCACTAAAATATGGAACACCTGACGGCTCCCCACTGATGTCTACTGTCCCCGAGGGTAGGCCACTAATATCCACCATTCCAGACACTTCTCCAGATGTTTCTCTTTCCCCTGAAGGAAGTCCACTAATTTCTAACACCCCAGATGGCCCTTCTCCTGCCTCCTGTGTGACAGATGTCTGCGTTACAACTTCTACCAAGGTTGTATCCAAAAGAGAGATAGTGGGAAGGCCAGACTGGAGCCCACTATAATCATAAACACCGGAGGGCTGGCCACTAGTGACCTCAACACCAGAGATTTCTCCACTGATGTCGGGTATTCCACTTGGAAGTCCACTTATTTCAGGCATTCCCGAAACATCCCCACTGAAGTCTACTAGCCCTGAAGGCAATCCGCTAACATCTAAAATTCCAGATACTGCGCCTGAAGTATCTTCCTCTCCTGAATGCAATCCACTGATTTCCAAAATCTCTTTTGCTTCTGCTTCTGTAATGGAAGGGGTTGTCACTTCAACCACACTGGCATTTATAAAGGTAATGCCTGAGGGCTCACCACTTTCATCACCACCAGAAACCAGGCCACTGAGGTCAACAAAACCACTTATGTCAGGTATCCCCGATGGTGCTCCACTGATATCAATTCCTGAAGGTAATCCACTGACATCAGGTATCCCAGAGGGCATTCCGCTGATGTCCACCCCTGAGGGTAACCCACTGATATCAGGTATTCCCGATGGTGCTCCGCTGAGATCAGGTATGCCAGAGGGTTCTCCGCTGATATCAGCTCCTGAAGGTAACCCGCTGATTTTTCCACTGATGTCCCATTCAGCAGAGGGTAAACCTGACAGGTCTCCTTCACCACTGACCCCAATTACTCCTTTCCCTTCCTGTTCCATTTCTGCTGCAGTTGTTACAACTTCCACCAAAGTGGTACGGTCAATGTAGACAGTAGGAATACCAGACGGCAGTCCACTTTCCTCTCCCGATGGCAGGCCACTGGTTAGTTCAACACCAGAGACTTCTCCACTAAATCCAGAAGGCAGTCCACTGATTTCTGGAAGCTCACTGATTTCCTCTCCAGATGGCATCCCACTGATGTCTGGGATTCCAGAAGCAGACACTGCTAGGTCTTCCTCTCCAGAAGGCAAACCACTGACATCAATAATTACCGGGGGCATTCCACTTATGTCCCCCGAGGGGAGACCGCTCTCTCCAGGAAGGAGGCCACTGATATCCAGATCTGCAGATGGTATTCCACTTTCTCCAATCCCGGAGGGTTCTCCGCTAGGTTCAAAAATTCCAGATGCTGATTCCCCACTTACATCTGGGGCTCCAGGTACCCAGCCTGAACTTGTTGGTTCACCGCTGATTTGAGGCTCTCCAGATGCAGAGATGTCCCCTGACACGCCGCTGACAGAAGCCTCTGCACTTGTTTCTTCTGGTATTGCACTAACAGGAGGGAAAACAGATGGACTCACTGGAAAAGAAGGGAGAGAGAGAGCGAGCAGAAAAAAAAAAGATTTAACAAACTGGTCTCAAAGAGCTATTAATAATAATATCCTGTTTGATTTTGCTCCCAAACTGACATCTAATAAAATGAAATGACGGACTGTGAGGATGAGGGCAGAAAGTTCTACACACTTCCCAGATCTCCCTTCTTACCAGAACATTTGTTAATGAAGATTATCTTCTAAATATCTGGAAAAACACTGGAATTTAAAACCTCCTATGACAGCACAAATTCCCAAAGGATGGCCTTTAGGACAAAGCTCCTAGTTCAACAGTCAGAGGTGGAAACCGCTGCTGTTTCTGCAGATAGGGCATGGCACCCTGTTTGGAGGAAGCTTTGGTCTCTGGCTTCAAGTTATGTCCTTCTTGGAAGTCAGAATCTGAAATTAGTTTCTCTCTTTAATACATACATCCATGTGTTATTGAAAGGAAGATCACAACTGCTACCTGCACTGATTCTGTATTGTAGGGTTGACTTGAGTTTCTGTTATGAGAGCGTGGCTTGTTTGGTTTTAAGAAGTTCACTGACTCACCTTCAGAAAAAAGAATCACGTGTGTAGGCTAAGTTTTCCAGAAATGAGTACGTTTAAATTTCAGTGTACTCAATTTACAGCCACACTAGTGGTAACTGTTTGCACACAGGTTACAGCAGAAAGTCTAAGTAAATTAAAGTGGTTTTATTTGCTCTAAGTAAATTAAAGTGACCAGAGCCCACACTTTCATCTACTTTTCAAAATACCCTTTTCCTTTACTAGAAGTCCAGTTTGTCAAGGGTTTCTTGTGAATAATGAAGTATCCATGAAAAATACTGTTTCACTCAGTGTGTTTCAGAAGAGTGAACTTCTTTAGAGCTTCAGGGCTCAGAGAGAAGCTCAGCTAAAAGGTGCATGTGAGATGAATGTAGATTCTTGAGTCAGAAATTAACTTCTTATAAAGAGAGCAGCGCAGAACTTTTTTCTTCATTGCTCTATTTCTCAGCTGGATTCAGACTGTGATTCTACTTAACAAGTCTTAGCGAGGACAAGTTATGATATTTCTAGATCGCCACCATCCCACATTTTCTCACTCTGATGTGACCCACCACCCAAGGAGAAGCGTGACCCACCTGATAGCAATGATACGTCAGTTGGAAAGACTTCTGCTCCCCATTCTGTCTGATTTTCAGGTCCAGTGGCAAGCTCCGTTTCCACAGTTGTCTCTTCCCCAGAGGGCACTTCCTCCACTCCAGGGATCACTTGGGTTGCAATCAGATCTTCTTCAAAGAATGGGGTAGCCCCTTCAACTTCCTGCAGAGATGGCAGGGCTGGAACAGAAAGATATTGAAAGGGATTTCTATGACTATCCTCTCTCTCTCTCAGGTGCCTGAGGCTGCTCCTCAAATAGTCTCAAGCAGAAGAACAATGTAAGGATAGCTATAAATAAGTATATAACATTTCTCATTACCGACAGCAAGGAGGTTAAGCTACGCTAAACAACGTATAAACTGTATGAGACTTAATGGGTCTTGTCTAACCTGAGTTTTCCATTTCCATGACAATAAATGAATACAAACAAACAATCTGTTGTCCCTGTGTGTCCTGGCAAGAAACAGCTACTTGTGATAAAGACCACTTAGTATAAAGTAGAACTACAGTGTAACCATTGCCCCCATGAAGTCCTCTTCCCAGATAAGACATTGTTTTCCTTGTGACCTGGGCACTGTACGCTAGGAAGAGTAGATGGTACCTCTGAAACAGAATGCGTGGTGCCTTGACAGTGGGTCAGGAAATCCTGTTTGGTTAGGGTTCAGGTAGATGGTCCTCACTCCAGGTTTGTCTCCACCACATGCAGCACGTGGGGTAACAATAGGATATCGAAGGCTGCCATCGGCAAGCCAGCCAGCATGGCATCTATCTAGGCCCAGCTTCCAGGCAGCCTGGAGTTGTCCAGTCGAGGCCAAGGTGGAATTTTGGCTTTCACAGTATTCCCGGGCTTCTTGGAAGGTGAACTGGTCTGGCTGGGTTGCAAAGAACACCTCACCTAGGGGAAAAAACCAACAATTCTTAACACCTAGGAATCTCATTTCCTATGGATAGATCAGACCCTCCTGCACAAACCGCATACTAGGGCTGTGCAAAATTTTGCCGGCAGTTTCATTTTGATGCTGTTTTGACTCATTTCGAGCTTGAAACAGCAAAATTGAAACAAAACAGAGAGCTTCAAAACAGCCTTGAAATGAAACGAGGCAAGCTGAAACATTTCAAAGTTTTTGAAATGTTTCAAGTTTTGGACCTTAAGCTGGGCTTGCCTGCAGGGAAACAGAAACTAAAGTAAGGAGAGGGAAGGAGAAGACGGGGGAAGGAGTGCTCTCATTATTGACTGTGTAGCTGGCCAGTGACTGTGATCCTTCCCTGAGGTCCCTTCCAATCCCAGTGCTCTGAGGGAGGGATGGAAAAACTGCATAAAAGGCAGTGTTTGAACTGAGCTTTTTCTGTGCCTTCATGCTTACAAGTGACATGAGTTTTACTCTGAACAGTTTGAGGTGCAGTTTCCCAGAAACCCCTGCACCTATCTACTTGAAACTTGACAGGCTTTGTGGCCTCAGCAAGGGCTACCATCCCTGATGTTTTCATTCAAATCAG